AGAACTCATGGTACCTTTCTCATATTGCTATTTTTTCTTCTCCCTGGTACCAACATTGGATCCTTTCTCCTACCTATACCTATACACACCATCTTCCCATCAACTCCAGGGATTTTTGCTACTGAAGAAATTACAGTTCTTTCTCATCCTGGAGTCTTTTTGTTGCACATGACTCTAAGGCAGAGACAGACAACAGTCAAAATCTTCAACCTTACTCCTTCCATGGTGTCTGGTCATTTGGCTCCTGGCAATACTACAGATCCCAGCCCGTCATGTAATTAGGTTATGCTTCTGTAACTAACTCAGTGCTTATTAATGAAATGAGAGTAGATGTTACATGTACCACTTTCTGGCCTGGATGATAAAAGTTCCCTTACGCATTCACTCTGGCTTTTCCTCTCCCTTTGGCAGAATGATAATGATATGACTTGAGAGGACTTAAAAGTCACCGTACTGGAAATAACAAAGATTCAATTTGGGTCCTAAATGGTTATGTAAAGCAGAATTACGTCTTCTCCTAGACCCTGAAAAGCCAACCCGAACTATTACAAAAGAAGGAGAAGAAGAGTTCTATTGTGTTGAAATCATTAGACTTCTGCTGGAGTATCCTTATTTCTAATGACAACGTCAATCTTCAGTGGTAGTCCTTCTGGTCATATTTACATCGATTCATATCACTGTAAGAAAACTACCAGTGTTGTGAAACTAACATTTCATAGTTACCTAATTTGATCCTTATAACATGCTCAAGAAGGAATTGTAGACTGTTGATCTGGAAGGAGCCTTGATTTTAGTGGTTTAAAAAAATTTTTTTAATGTTTTATTTGTTTCTAGGAGAGAGAGAGAGAGGCAGCATGAGCAGGGGAGGGTCAGAGAGAGAGGGAGTCACAGACTGAAACAGGCTCCAGGCTCTGAGCCGGCAGTCAGCACCGAGCCCGACGCGGGGCTCGAACCCACGAACTGCGAGATCATGACCTAAGCGAAAGTCGGATGCTCAACCGACTAAGCCACCCAGGCGCCCCAGTGGTTTTAAAATTTTAAAGTCTTAAAAATGGAATTCTTTCTTCAAATGATACAACATTGAGTCCTGTATAAAGAATGGCTAAAGGTAAAACATTAATGGTTGCAACAGTGTGAGGGTGAGGATGTTGGGAATGAACTGGTCCAGAGTTGGTCAACAAGGTTCTGTCCTTCAATGTCTCCCTTCGGGCACATTCCTAGACCCTTGGCCTCCAAAGAAGAATGTATATAACATACTTAAAGATGAGCTAAAAGAAGTTGTGAGACTCAGTTTTATGAGGCAAACTGAGTTGATTTTGTATCACACTTGAATTATTCTGCATTTGTGCTATTACCTATACTTTTCCCTCTGACTGGGTTGCCTTTCTTAGTCCCTTCTTTTTAAAATCCAGACTATATATTAAAGCTATAATCATGAAGCTTATAATTATTTCTGTTCTGTTATAATAAGTTGCCATAAATTTAGAAGCAAAATTTTAATCTCATAGTTCTGTAGGTCAGATGTCTTGATGGGCTCAACTGAGCCCCCTGCTCCAGGTTTCACAAGGCCAACATCAAGGCGCTGGCAAGGCTGTGTTCATCACTTGAGTCTCTGGGGGAAAGAATGCACTTCCAGATCCATTCAGGTTTTTAATAGGATTCCTTTTCTTGAGGTTATAGGACTGAGGTTTCCATTTCCTTGCCGGCTATTAACCAGATGCTGACTTTTGCTGCTAGAAGGTACTCCGATCCGTGACTTTCATGTAGCCACCCCCACCCTCAGGGGCTGACTGAGTCTGTCATATTTCACATATCTTTGACTTACCTCCTTGCTGCATCTTTCTGACTTCCTCACCTACTTTCAGCTGGGAGAAAGCTCTACTCTTAAGAGCTCATGTGTATGCATTGGGTCCACTTGAATAATCCAAAAAAAAAAAAAATCTAATTTACTGTCAGTTGACTGGCAATCCTAATTGCATCTGCAGAGTCCCTTTTGTTCATATAATGTGTCATTTTTATAGGCATGGCAAGGGGATGGTGTGGTTATTATGCCAAAATTCTGCCTACCACAAAGTCTTTCCTGAAAACCATCCAGGGTGAACTCACCTGCGTTAGAAACCACATATCTCTCTCTTAGTACCTCTCATAATGCACTGTCCTTAATCTACCTATGTTAAAGCCATTTATGAAATTTCCTTGGTTTTCTTTCCATTGTGAGACCCCTCTGATGGTGGTTGCTCAGTGTCTAATAGAGCTGGCACACTAATGAAATTGGATGAATTAAGTGGAATTACATAAGTCATACAGTAAAGGCAGATGGGACTAGAACCAGAGCTAGAAAAGCACTCTTAGTCCAGCATGTTCTTTTTGAAAGCTCCAAACCTTATCCCTACCCAAGAGTTGGGCATCATTTACAGACATGGATGTTTTTATTACATTTTAGGGAAAATTTTTTTTCAGTGAAAGAATAGAATAGAATAGAATAGAATAGAATAGAATAGAATAGAATAGAAAATAGAAAAGAAAGAAAAGGTTTATGTGATGGCCTTTTAAAATCTTGACCTGTGTGTAGTCAGAGCTGAACGATCTGATACTCTCTTCTATTGAAAAGTTCAGTGAGTAATCACACCCAAGTCCCAGTGAACCCCACTGTGTTTCATAGGTGCCACCTTAATTTGCCAACCTGCCTTTAGCCTAAAGAATATATTTTTTTTCCTTTTCATTTTTAGTTGCTGACTTGGTGAAATCAATCTGTACATTCTAGAAGAGAATTTTTTATTTTGGTGGAGTGATTCTGTTCCCGGATGTGGCTGACACTGTAAACCTTTCAAAATCTGACATGCTGGTCTTATGGGACCAAGTAAAGGCAGTAGAGGGAGGGACAGAAGCAAAGACCATAGGTTTAATCCTTTTTTTTTTTTTTTTTCATAGAGGAAAGAGCATACCTACTATCTTTCCATAGTAGAGACAGCAGAAGTCTGCTATCATAACCTTGATATGAGGAAAAAATGCATGCCTTACTCATTGGGGGTTTTGAAAATGAAATGAATATATTTTGTGAGTTATAAAGAATAACACAAATTACTACCAAGAGTAATAACCCAATCCATTTTAACATGTTTTACTTTTTTAAAATTTTTTAATGTTTTATTTATTTCTGAGAGAGAGAGAGACAGCATGAGCAGGGGAAGGTCAGAGAGAGAGAGAGAGAGAGAGAGATACAGAATCTGAAGCAGGCTACAGGCTCTGAGCTAGCTGTCAGCACAGAGCCTGATGCGGGGCTCAAACCCACAAACTGTGAGATCATGACCGGAGCTGAAGTCAGACGCTTAACTGACTGAGCCACCCAGGCACCCCCATTTTAACATGTTTTAATGTTTTTTGTTTTTCAGAGAAGTTGACAGAGTGTGAGTGGGGAAGGGGCAGAGAGCGTGGGAGACACAGAATGTGAAGCAGGCTCCATGCTCTGAGCTGTCAGCACAGAGCCTGATGCGGGGCTTGAATCCATGGACTGTGAGATCATGACCTGAGCCAAAGTTGGACATTTAACCGACTGAGCCACCCAGGCGCCCCAAACTCAATCTATTTTAAGTGCATATAAATATATAAGCATTATCATCACCATCATCATCATCCTTATGCTTCTTTTCCCAGAGAAGATTGAAGAAAATGTAGACTCCAAGCCTCTGTTGAGGTCAAACAGCAGTTTAGTCAAAGCTTGAAGGTTAGAATTCAACAGGCCACAATTCCCATTAGATTCATGAATTCCCTGATGCTGCCAGAGCCAGACTGTTCCTCTACCAAATTACTGCCAAGGGAACACGATGCTCATCTCAACTGTAGTTTCCACATTTTCTCAAGATTAAATAGAGAGCTTTTAAACTTCCTTTTCCAAGAATATCTTAATTTTTAAAATGCTCTCATTCTCATCACATCTTAAGCTTTGAACTCTCACCATCCCCAGCATTCAAGTCTCCTTATTAATCTGTTGATGAGGCCTCCATGTTTCTTCTGAGTATGATTTCTAGCAGCTGCTGCATCTTTATTTACTTATTCATGGATGGGAAGAAGGAGACAATTTTGATGTATATTGCCTTAATCAGGGACAGGTGTTAAACTAGAGCATGGCAACTCTAAAACTATTCTTCATTTCAACACCTACGAAACACACATTTAAAAAAATCTATAATGATCAGACTTATTTATTTGATATTCTTTATTAAAAGATAGCAGCTTATTCTTTACAAACAAATAGAAACTACCTAAAAGGATTTGCTTCAAAATAACCCAGCTTGCCAAATGAGAGGCCACTGAGAATAAGACAAAGAGAAAGCAGGCTACAGTTAAACACGGTTGTCCAGGAATTGATAATAGATAAAGCTGGGTTTTCTTGTTTCCTTTTTTTTACATTAAAAAATCTCCATAATATGTGCTAAATAAGTCTATTTTATACTAAAAGTTAAAGGTGCCCAAGAAAGTTCATTGCTAATATTTTGGGTATAAATTCTTGATCTTAAAAATGCTTGTACCCATTTATCACCATGGAAATACTTTTAGCAGTTCTAAATTGCATCCAGATGGAAGAACCACTTAATTTTTGATGAATTTAATAAATGATAAAGATCTTCTATACAATTAAAAACTTAAAGGTTAGCATCTAGTCCTACATCTAAATTTTTCAGCTCAGAAATTTTTTTGATCTGTGACCTACCTTTGTCCTGATATCTGGATGTGAATATAATTTTCCACTTCTAAAGCCTACCTTCACAAGGGTTATTATGTGCTGTTTGGAGCCTTTTTTGTTCAAAAAGCCTCATATAATTTGATCTACTAATGGATCAAGATGCCTTAGGATTGGTTTCTGGACTTAAAATGTAATAAAATTTTTATCTTAATACTGTATTTCTTTTTTCATGGGGAGTAAAATGAGTTCTAAAAACACATTTAATTAGCTGCATTTTCTTTATTAAAGAAGATGTTGAAAATTTTGGCAGGTGTATTTTCATTCAGGGTCACATTGATCTCTTTTTCTTTGCCCTTTCGTCCTACTTTCACATCAGTTCTTTTGCAAGCTGTTTGATGACAATCAACTGTTCTGTGTGTGCTGTAATAAATTCTGAAATAAAAGAATAAGCAAAATTGGAAGTATCACTCTTCAGGATAAATATGAAATGTCAGTGCTTAACAGTCTTGACAGGCTACATAAAACGTCTTGGGAGACAGTGTCCCCAGAAGGAAAGCTCAAATTCGATTATCACATAATGTGCTATACAAGATGATAGCCAGATATTTTATATAACTATATCAGTGAGGTACTGACCACCACAGAGAGACACAAATATTATCCAACTGGTCTTAATATCAACTTTTTGCCTGACGTTTTCTCAAAAAATATTTAAAAAATAAAAATCAAAGTTTATAATAAGAGATTTTATTTCATGTGAGAAATCTCACATATTTATTCTCTTCCCTTTCATAAAAATAAAAAACGTATAACGACCATATATTATGGCAGCCAGATGATGGACTGTTATATTGTTAATTTTGAAATTTCCAAAGAATAAAAATTACCCAGAACACTTGAGGCTGAGTCATCACATAATTCAAATGGCTTTATAGGCTGTAAATTCATGATTTGCATCATAAAGATAAAACACTACATTCAGCACCTCGAAGAATCTGTACCTGTAGACCAAAGAATCTGTACTTAGTAGAACAAAGAATCTGTACCTAGTAGAACAAAGAATCTGTACCTAGTAGAAACAGATGGTCAAGCAGTGGCCTAACCCAGATATAGAAGCTCATTCTGGGACCAACTGGAGGATGTGCCTAGTGTTGGAAAAATATTGTTTAAAAAAAAACATTTTAGTCCAAATTCTGAGAATGCTCAGCTCAGAAGTTTCCCCAGCAAGTGGCTTTCCATGAAGGGGACTCTATTACAATGGAATCTATCAGTACTGAGGTTTCAGACTAGGCTGGCAATCTCCAAATGAAAGATATGTAAATGAATTGCCAAGCTCTCCTGTTTAGGTAAAAAGACAAACTATCTTTGGACAAAATTGAAGAGAACAAAAGTGAAAAGGACTCTTGCTATGAAGCTGATGTTCAAGACTTCTGTGGGACTCACTTATTTAATGATACATTCATATATCCGTTTATCAACTCATAATGTAAACTAAAGGAGAGGGCAGAATTTCTGATTCTGATTAGAATGATTGCGTCAAACCAGAGGAAAAGGGCAGAGCTGTAATTTGAAAGAAAGAAAGAGAGAAAGGTGGGCAGGGAGAGATAAAGAAAGACTTGAAAACAATAAACCTTTAGTGTCATAAAGTGTGGAGAAAGAAAAAGAAAATTCTCTTGTCTTATAGAAACATTCATATTCAGATTTTGCTCTTTAAACCCTCAGCAGAAATGTAGCAATCACATTATCCATGAATTTAATTTGTGAATCACCTTTAGAGTCTACAGAAGATGCAACCCTACCATGTAGGCTGCAAAGATGTTTTCAAACTATTTTTTCTGCCCAGTTTTTTTTTTTTTTAAGAAAAGTTTTAAATAAGGTATCCATAATGAATTTATAATGTAGTGGCTATTTTAAATAAATTACACTAATCTACATTGATTACAACCTTCCGGTTTCTGCAAATCTATACTTAGATATAAAATTATAAATTGTGTTGTGTGGCCTTAGGGGACAGAACTAGCTGCAACTAGAATTTTCATTAATATGTAGAAGAGCCTTCTAAGACTCTAGTTGTCTGACATAGTAATGAGCTACCTTGGAAGCTCTGAGACTGCCCCCATTAGGGCTATTTTCTATTTTTACAGACTGAAAACTGATGTCATGGAGTATGTTGGAGACTTTGTACAGGAGGTACAAAGAGGCACCTTTCCTCCAAGGTCTCAGCAATAATTTCACAGTTATATAACATTCAGAAAAATAACAGGATTCAACCACAATTACATTTTAAAATTTAGCACTTCCCACCCGGTGCCTTAGCACTTGATAACACAGTATTGTCCTTGTTCATGCAAAAAGTACCACTAGACCCTTTACCTTTGAACTTCTACCAGTACAACCTGGTTTGCTCTGATTTTGAGGATCTTGGCTCCTCAGAAAGGATTAATCATATTTGATATTAATTAGAAGGCTGGTCAAAGTCTGAGAATTTCTAATAGCCGAATAAAAGTTGGAAAGTCTAACTCATTCCAATTCGCCTTCTAAGAGGCTATTTAGGCCTACAGGAGTTTACATTTGTAAATGACACACATGACAACCCAAGCTCCATACTCTATGGCAAACAAGGTACACTAATTATAAAAACTAAATCCACTGGAGAGAGCCATGAAGAAAACATGTAAAATTATATCCTGTGTCTTTAAGCCAGGACCCAAGGCACAGAATTATCATTGACTTCAAAACTGTCTGAGTGAAAGGGATCAATATTCAATTTCACAAAGATAACACAATATCTGGGAAGGAAAAAAAAAATACATGTTTATCAGAAACTTTCCAAAGGATAAGATTTTGGGATATGGAATCAAACCTTGAAAAGTCAAATAGCTAAAAAGATTTTTGAAAACAGCTGTTGGATTAAAGGCAACCTCACTGATTGCCTTGAATGTTGCCAGGTCATTCTGAGTTCCCTAGTCTCTCCCATAATACTGGAGGCACTAAATATCCAGCTGCAGAATAATGACAGCCAGCCCACAAATGAATCGCCTCTTAAAATGAAACATAGGGCCATTATTTATTACAGGAAACCAAATTCTCCCTTCTGCGATTCCAAATATAAAATTAAAAAAAGGACAATGATTTGGCTGACATTTTAAAATAACTTTAAAATGTTTCAAATAAAATTGGACATCTTTATGGTAATGTTAAATAAATGGTATGAGGTAGGGGATAATGTATTCAAATAATTTTCAGATTTAACGGGAAGGGTAGAATGAGCTTCTTTGGTCAAGATTCACAGCACAGAATTATAGTTTATTTATTTTTATTTATTTTTTTAAGGAACCATAGTTTCAAAATCAGCCACAGAATCTAGAATTTCAAGCCTCCAAGAGACTTCAGAGATTAGTTGGTCCAATTTCCCATCTAGTGCCACATTTACCACAGAACCTTGATGAGCTGATGACATATTTCAATCTGCAATCATGTAAAGTTTTATAAGCCCCATAGCGGCACTTGGACCTTTATGAATCTTTGAGTTTTATGTGACTTAAATCAAATCTTTCTTTCTGGAGCTTTTACCCATTGTTTATAACTTCAGAATTAAAAGTTGCATGTATTCAATCCAGTACCTTCTATATGCTGGCCTTTCTAGTTTTCTTTTCTCTGTGCTAAGAATCCTCAGTCTATTCAGCTCTTCGTCATGTACATTGCACTTTTTTATACCTCTCACCACCCTAGTAGATTTCCTTAGGATGCTTTCTGGCTTGTTAGTATCCACCTTAAAGAAGGCTAGCCGTAGTTTACAACAGTTCTTTGACCAACACCGCATAAGTTATACTTTAGTCCCAATATTCTAGATATCAAAGTTATGTGAAAGTAGCCATACTCCCACTTAGAACAGAAAACAGAATGGGTTCAACCAAATCCTAGTACCGTTTCTCTTCCTGGAACATGGCTAGACATTATTTGGACTCCTTTGCAGTTAAGTAGAGCCATGTGAATAACATCTGGACCATGGAATATGTGTAGAAGTTATATATTCCTTTCTCAGGCTGGCCTAAAATTACTAGAACTATTGTCAGGATATTCTCTGTGCGTTCTTTGTCTTCATTTCTTGGTTTAGTGGAAAGTATCCAGCTCTCTCTCTCTCTCTCTCTCTCTCTCTCTCAGAAATAAATAAAAACATCAAAAAATTTTTTAAAAATGAAATGGAATGATTCTAAATCCCTGAATAAAGTTATGCAGAAGAGATTCCCAAGCTCACTGCCTATTCTCTTTACACTATTAAAGGAACTAGAAATACTTTTTTAAAAAATTGAGGTAAATTTGGTAAATAGTAATATATTAGTTTTAAGTGTACAACATAATACTTTGATCTTACATATACTACAAAGTAATTATCACAATAAATCTTGTTACCATTCATCACTATACAATTGACCACCTTCACCCCTTTCACTCACCTCCAACCCCCTTCCCCTCTGATAACCACCAATATGTTCTCTCTCTGACTTTTGTTTTCTTTGTTGATTTGTTTTTGTTTTTTAGGTTCACCTGTAAGTGAAAACACATGTTATCTTTCCCCATCTGACTTCTTTTACTTAGCATAATACCTTCAAGTTCCATCAGTGTTGTCTCAAATGGCAAGATTTCCTTCTTTGTTATGGCTGAATAACATTACATGGGATTATATACCATATCTTTATCCATTCATCCATCCATGAGCACTTAGGTTGCTTCCATATGTTGGCTATTATATATGATAGCCATATGTATAATGCTGCTGCAATGAACTTACTGGTGCATATGTCTTTTTGAGTTAGTGTTTTTGTTTCCTTTGGATAAATACCCATAGGTACAATATGAATAGCTGGATCATATGGTAGTCCTATTTTTAATTTTTTGAGGGACTTCCATACCATTTTTCATAGTGGCTACAGGGAATTACAAAAGGTATTATATTTGGGATTTATATGCATGTGAAATTTGAACTTAGATGGTCTCAGTACAGAGCCCAAACATTGCTATATATTATAGGGTAATAACAACTAGGAAATAATGAAGACAGTGGTTCAAGTGATAAATTGACAAACATTTTTTTCTTCACCTCTGCTTGCTGGATCTCCCAAGAGATAAGTAAATCACGCCTCAATCCCAGATGTTAAAAGAGTGGTGTCATCAACATTTTGACACACTTTCTAATACTAGAATTTGTGTCAGTACACAGTTGATGGTGTTAGGAGACCCAAATCAGAATCAGGCAACTGAGCACTTATTATGATATAATCACTATAAAAAAATAATGTCTTTCAAAATTGGGGCACCTGGGTGGCTCAGTTGGTTAAGTGGCCAACTTCAGCTCAGGTCATGATCTCACATTTCTTGAGTTCAAGACTCACATCGGGCTCTGTGCTGACAGCTCAGAGCCTGGAGCCTGCTTCAGATTCTGTTTCTCCCTCTCTCTCTGACCCTCCCCTGCTCACACTCTGTCTCTCTCTCTCCCTCTCTCAAAAAAAAAATAAATAAATAACATTTTAAAAAATTAAAAGAAAAAATCTACAAGAGCTCTTCCAGGCGTCACTTACTTTAATTACCTGCTCTTCAATATTACGCCACTGTTTGAATAAAATTCCGTATTACTCATAAGTCCCCCTTAATATTTTTTCATGTTTCAGTAAACTTAATGAATTATATATTTATTTTTCATATTTTTAGTGCCAGAGTGCCAGCTTCACTTTTGTTGTGTTCCTTACTCATCGGTTGTAGAACACCTTGTGAGACACAGCCTGCTAAGACTGACATTCTCTATGTCAGATACTGTCAATTACATTTAGTTGTAAAGAATGAATTTTGCTCATGAATCTAAATTTTTCACTTGAGGATTTGCCATGCAGTTATGTGGTACAGCATACCTGCTAAGAACTAACTGAACTCTTGGGTATCTTTTTCTGGATATTTTTTTCTAAGAATGAAAAAAAATAGATTTTAATATGTACTTATTTTTGAGAAAGAGTGAGAAGGGGAAAGGCAGAAAGAGAGAGAGAAAGAGAGGGAGACAGAAGATGAGAAGAGGACTCTGTGCTAACAGCAGAGAGCCTGATGCAGGGCTTGAACTCACAAACTGTGAGATCGTGACCTGAACCAAAGCTGGATGCTTAATCAACTGAGCCACCCAGGCACCCCTAAGAATGAAAAATTTTTAAAGATTTATGTTTTCTGTTTCTTTATTGACTACATTCTTTTTATGCTGTGTTTGTAGTAATTTTAAGTAGAACCCTGCCTCTGTATAGCCAATATGATCAATTTCGGCAGTTGCACGTATATATGTTTGCATATGTTTTTTGTATGTATGTGTGAATGTATGAACCCGCACGTTGCTCAGAGACCAGTAGAATGGCTAGAACTTTGTAATTACTTTAGAACAAATGATTTCAACTAACTTCTATGACACTGGGATAATCTGTGGGCTGCCACATCCTCTCCCAGGAACACAAGGCTTAATTTCAGCTGGCAAGCACCTCAGCCTGGCACTGTATCTCATCCATCCATTAGCAATGTTGAACATGATTCCAGCAATCTTGAGAATCACTTCAGCTATCTCACACCCTGGAAATGTTTGACCTACTCAGGGCAGTTGTCTGACTTTGATGGATTGATACTAAAATTAAGGTCTTCAAAGATCTCCCATATTATATCACACTATATTTGGCCGAATCTCATCTTGCAGCTCTTCCCTCCAATTAAATACCCAGACCCAAAACGCATCAGGCTGCTCAGACTTCCCTTTGGGCTGTCTCCTTTCACCTCCATGCCTTGGCATCTCCTAATATCTGCGCGGAATGCCCTTCCCAAAGCTGCTGTATAAAATACTCTGGATTTTTCAGTGCCAGCACAAATGTGTCCTCTTCTGTGAATTATGTCTCATCCCAGTACATTCTTTGAACCCTCAGATTCCTCTGTACAGCTCTGATAGCAGAACTTACAGTTTTTTATGTGCCGGTTTATCAATCTTACTGGATCATAACCTGCAGAGGAACAAGAATCACATTTCATTCTTCTTATATGGCCCAAAGGAGCTGTATATAAATGTGCTCAATTTATGTACAACGCAGCAAGTGAATGCTGTGAATGCAATTGTGAACGTGTCAGAACGTGTGTTCAGAGGGACTTTCAAAGTGCATTTTAGAATTATTTTAAAATTTCAACTACAGCCTCCCTCTACCCCCCAAAAAAAGCCTTAGTTGATGTTTAGATATTATTTAGATGATTTTAGAAGAATTGAAAAATTTTGAATTCATTTTTGACAGCAAATTTCTTCTATTAAAAAATAGGTGCAACTGCATTTGTGTCAATGCTCAGTAAGATCTGAATTTGGAATTCTGGAACCACCATAAAAATGTTTAAGCCAAAATAGTAGAAACCTTATATAATCTCTCACTTAGATCTTTCATTGTAGTAGTTATGAGATCCAAATGTTTAAGACCCGCAGGGGTCCAGCCTCTGCAAGCCACGGTTGGTCTGGAGAGTGGTTGGCATCGGCTAAAGAAGACACGGATCCAGCCTTTTCAGGTGGACTGCTCAAATTTATTTTTCAGCTTCGGGTCTTTATATAGCAAATCCAAACAATCATGCTTAAACAATTTACATTTTTTAAGTACAGTCATAGGATTTAACATTTCCAGGTTTTCTTGGCAACAGTGATTTTACGGTACATGATTTCCACTTCAACCAATAAAATTTAACCAGGTTCTCATAACAAAGTTTTACATATTCCTTACTACGTATGGCGGGATATCTAAGGATAAGTGAAGCATATTGCCAGAATACATGAGATCAGAGTCCCCTTTGATTGTTTAAATTCAGTGGGCATGCAAAAACAGGATATATTTATACCTGCGGTTGTAGGTAACAGACTGTCACAACCCCTTACTAAGAAAGAACAATGTCAACATTTATCATAGATGACGTATGGAAATGTTTTACGTGGATCAACTAGAATTTGGTCTCTGCATTTACCAATCTCATTCTTTGACCACAACAATCTATAAGTTGCCTTACAGGCTTGAGGTCAGCACGCAAATATTTCTCTAACACTTTTTTGAGAAAGCCCTCCAAAACTAGTAAGTCTTGTTTTTGTCTCTGCTTATGACCTAATATGTATTCTTACTGGCAATTAGACCCATACAAGGAAAATGAATTCTAGGTCTCCTATAGACCCCATGCATAGCGGACTGTCTCCAATTTTGCTAATTGCTACAATATTCATTAGACAACATCTGATTGAGGGGGCGGACATGATATTTAGGTACATTCCATTTTGGAGGAAGGGGGGAACTTTGGGCGATTCTGGTTTCATATTAACCCTAGAATAGACTAACAGCAGAAGTGAGAGTAAAAGATAGAGACAAAGTAGAGAAGAAGAATTCTTCCGGGGGTTCTTCTGACTGCCTTGGAGTCTTTTCCCACAGGTGTTTCCCTGGGCCTTGCCATCAGGGATGACCTGTGCAGTTTCGGTCTCCGGCAAAGACCCAAACTCCTTAGTGATATTCCTTCATATTTTTCTCACTTTGTATCATTACAAATTTTGAGAAGAGATTTAGGGAAAGCTCAACTTTTATAATGAGAAGATAAAGCAATCATAAGTTATATTTGGATAAAAATCTGAGATATGCATGTATGTACATTTGTGTATATATATATATATATATATACACACACACATATATATATATCTTTACATATAGATGTGTGTAGGCACACACACACACCTTGCCTGGTGGCATCTGGATGGCTCAGTCAGTTAAACAATGAGAACAAAATATAAGAGACTAAATCACGGTTACATTTAGCATTAATACATAGCACACATACATACATATATATATGAGTGTGTGTGTTTGTGTGCATATATATATATAAAAAGAGAGAGAGAGAGAGAGAGAGAGATGTGTGTATATATATATGGGGAGAGAGTCAGTGAGAATGATATAGTAAATGTCAAAAGGGCATCTAGAGGAAATGGTTTGCACTTAAGATAACTGAATTACAAGTACATGACAATTTATAATAGATATTTTTATTGAAATACGCTTTTCAAGTTACAAATGGCAGGTACCATAGCAAACTGCAAAAGAATATAACAGAAAGTGATAAAGTATCTATCATGAAAACATGGTTTCCATGAACTGTAAGATGAAAAGAAAGATAGATACTAATAAAATAAGTTATTAAGTAAAAAACTGAGTTAAAGCCAGGCATGGGGGTGCCTGCGTGGCTCAATCAGTTAATTGTCCAACTCTTGGTGTTGCCTCAGGTTGGTCATGATCTCATAGTTTGTGGGTTCGAGCCCTGCATCAGGCTCTAGGCTGATAGTGTGGAGCCTGCTTGGGATTCTCTGTCTCTGTCTCTCTCTGCCTTCCCCACTCACACACTCTCTCTCTCGAAATAAATAAATATTAAAAATAAATAAATTCAAGCACATAATGCATTCTTAGCATGTATGTATGTATGTTTGTATATTCCTGTATCTGGAAAAATAATTTATATATACATTGGTGTTTGCTTCATGAGTGAAATAGTCACTTTTTAAAAATAAATGACATGTGGGGCACCTGGGTGGCTCAGTCAGTTAAACATTTGACTTCAGTTCAGGTCATGATCTCATGATTTGTGAGTTCTAGCCCTGCATCAGGCTCTGTGCTGACAGCTCAGAGCTTGGAACCTGCTTCAGATTCTTTGTGGCCCTTTCTCTCTGCCCCTCCCCCCCATTCTCTCTCTCTCTCTCCCCCTCTCTCAAAAATAAATAAACATCAACTAATAAAAATAATAAAAAATAAAATAGATGACATGTATGAGAAACACTTCATACTAAAGATAAATTGAAAAAATATATTTCCCATATTTAAAAAAAATATTAAAAAAGTATTGTTATAGGAACTTGTTTAAGTTTCAATTCCCTCAAAAACTAACTTTTAGATAGAGTTTGATACAAGTAGTTTATTTGTAAAGTGTTCCCAGGGAAGCACTAAAGGGCGTGAGGATTGGTCAGGAAAAGTAGGAAAGTTAAAGAATGCCTTCACGAGTAGATTACGACTATGGCCAACTGGGGCTCAGTTTTTCTGGGATACTTGGAGATATTGTATAAAATGTATCTCAGAATGGTTCCACTAAAAGCCAGATATTCTAGGGTATTTATCCACCAACTTTCACCTCTGAGTGCTTGCGGGTTAAACTTTGGGTGTCAAATCTCTTACAGATACATCAGCCTGGGTTGAGCATGTTCTCTTGGCCAGAGAATGCATTCAGGCAGGAAGTTGTCAGCTTGGGGGGTGAGGGGTATGATTCGTAGAAGATCCCTGGAAGAGAAGGGATCTAAGGCTCAGGCACAAATGATATTTGCTACAGAATTGTGTGGGACTTTCTGTTTTCCCATGTTCAATATAGTTAGACATTATTATACAATATAGTTTCCCATTTTCAATATAGTTAGACATTACAGCCCTGCTACTTATGTTAAGTTTCCATCAGCAATTTTATCTGTATGTCTATATATTTATGTATCTATTTATCTATATTAATTAGGGAGTATCTACTAAATATATTGGTTCCATAGTTTTAAAAAATGAGAACAAAATATAATTAGAGGCTAAAACACTGTCACATTTAGCAATAATCTGTAGCACACATTCAGTTACTTCCTTTTCCATTTGCAGTTGCTTAATTTATACCTTTCCTTCCTGTAAAGAAGACTTTACTCACATGGCTACTAGAGTAAAAAAAACCCAAAAGGAAAACTGTACAATCAAAACACTAAAGCAATGATTTTTCAGTATCTCTGCCAACTAAAAGACATAGAATATTGCTTCTGTGAGAACATCTGATCTACCATATGACACTTTATATTACAAAGTTAGGTTTGAGAGCATATTGGTATGAAATGCCCATAAATTATGTGTTCCTTGACCTTAACCAGGGGGAAGAAATGCCTATATACACATGTATTTTGAACGTACACTATTTTTCTTTAGTTGACATTTCCTACATTTATTTCCTCTTACTATTCTTTGTGTCAAGTACATAGAATATCTTTCTACACAAATTATTGGGGAGTTGCATTTAATTAGTTAATTCTACAATTATTATTTTTCTTTTTTCCAGTTTTATTGAAATATGATTGACATACAACACTGTGTAAATTTAAAGTGTAGAGCCTAATGATTTGATTTACGTATTAGAGTTTATTATGCACTAGGCAGTGCTTTGTGAGTGCCAGTGCATAGAGCAAATAAGTCATAAATCCCTACCTTCAAGAACTCACCACTTATGGGACAGATTTACGTGTAGCAACACTGGAAAATAAAAGAGAATATTTCACAAGAGGTGTGCATGCAGTGTGCTATAGAAACACCAAGAGGGAGAGGACAGTATTTAGTCCTGACTGGTGATTAACCCAAGGTTCACAGAGGAGGGGATATTTCATTCCGACTGTGAAGAATAGGTGAAATTTCAATGAATGGAGATGGGCTTGGGCAAGGATGCAGCAAGGAGAGCAAATAGAACAGTTAAAAGAAAGCATCGAGGTCTAATAGTGCATAGACTTTTTCAGAGAATGGAAGTCTTGGGAATGGTTGGCATATAGCATCTTAGTTGAGATAGAGGAACACTATACAGGAAAGGCAGATTGTGGAGGCCTTGTAGGAACACAAAGGACAGTTGGAGTTCGTGCTCGGAGCTGTGATGAGAGATCAAAAGCTCCGAGGAAGTAAATGACACGATCAAAGCTTTATTATGTGAAGAGAAGAAACAAGTGCAACTACTCCTCATGGAAATCACTCAAATGGTTATGAAAAATGAGGGGGTGATTAGACAGAAAAAAATTAGAAACAGGTAGAATTATGTCCAAAATTTGTAGGCTTCTGGAGTTGCCATGTTGGAGGCAAAAAGATCCTTAACAACATCAGTGGCAAAGGGAATATTATTGAGAAATAAAAACTGTCAACATCTTATGAACCATCAGACTTCAGAG